GGGAGGCTGTACTTCCTCCTCCATTCATTGATCTCCTTCATCCCTATCTTTGAGGGGGGACCGATAGATGAAGACTCCTCAGCCTTAACGTTAACCTCCCTCGCTACGTCGATGGAATCAGACCTAGGACTCTCGACTAGCGAGTCAACAGATGGCGAAGGGGATTCTATCGGATCTAGGGTTTCGATTCCTTTCCTAGACCTAGCTCTACTTCCCACTGAGGACATGCCTAGGGAACGGCTAGAAGGTACCGACATTGCTAAACGGAAAGAAAGAAGGGAAAGACGGCTACTTGTTCCGAGAATGAAGCAATCATCGGAAAGGAGGAAATTGCCAAAGGAAACGCCAAAGAAAAAAGCAAGAGGTAGGAAAACCGAGAGGTGTGAGATAGTGTGAAGTAGAAAACCCTAAGGGGTGGATCCTACACGCCTCAGAGATGCCGCCACACGCTAAGATGGGCGCCAGAAATCAAAGTGACTATGGGCTGACTCTAAAGCCCATATTCCCCTTCTAGGAGATTCAACCTGAAGGCCCAAGGTGTCACCTCCTTCGAATCTACGGCCCAGTTCTTCCTGCTCCAAGTTGCGATGCCATAAAGCAAAAAGAGATAGGCACCTTTCCAACCAGAGATCACAACTTGGAGCAGGAAGAACTGGGCCGTAGATTCGAAGGAGGTGACACCTTGGGCCTGGAGATGTTTATTGGACGCCATTTTACCAAGGGAAATGCGACTTACTCCAGGCCTTAAACACGGTCCTGGCCTAAACAAGGACTTGGAGAATAGGGTGCCTAGAGTGATGTCTTACTTAAGGAGAATCTGCTGAGATAAAGCGACTACGGTCCACATAGACACACTTTATCCCTTGATTCCATCGATGAAATAAAGGAATAAGGGGAAAACTGTTGGGAATTAATATTAAGGCACCAGATTCCTCAAGCTTCCGAGCTGGGCACCGGCCTCTAGACCCTTGCTCCGAAGGGACCCAGGGCCTAGACCCTGCATCCAGATTCCCCGGGCCCGACCCCTGCTCCAAAATCCGGCCCTTGAATAAAATGGAAGTTCACCAGTTAAGGAAATTCTTCCATATTCGCCAATATGGAAGGGTCTAACCTAATGCAAGCCGACATCTACACCTAAAAGGGGAACCAAACCCTAGAATAAGGGATCAACACTTTAGAGATTGAGAGACTAGATCTAGGCGGCTAGAATTAGGGTTTATACACCAAACATTGTAGCCCCCCCTTTCGATTATTCAATAATGTGTCTCCTTCTCTACTTGTTTCTTATTATATCTCTTTGATTTCTCCTTGCCTCTTACGAACCTTCTTGTGTTCCATAGTACTAAAATGACCCTACACAAAAATACCATAACAGAACCATCCCATAAATTCCTTCATCCTGACCTTCTCAAATGGTATCATATTTGGATCATCAACTTTCAGTTCCTTGGTGGAGAGAGTACCAAAATGATTCTCAAAGGGCTTATCTATTGGAGACTCATCTTCTTGTACCTCCTTGGGGGATTCTTCAGTGTAAATTACTCGATTCTCCGTAGACTCTTCACCGTTTGCTTCTTCCTTGGCTACAAGAATCACATGCGGGTTTTTTTTGCGAGAGCTCGTTTATAAAGAACAAACTATCTCTTGTCTCTTTAGTGCATTCAACAACCAGACTGTCATCACCCAGATCTTCAAGAGTGTTCTCAACAAAGCCTACTTCTTCTTCATCAATGTTTGTGTAATAACTCATGAATGTCACAGTCTTGGCTTGTTCTTCAGATCTTAGAATAAGATTCTTATCTACTGTGAATTCAGAGAGTGATTCAAACTCGTGTATAGGCTCTTCAGCTTCTTGTTGGAAATCATCCTCAAGCTGAACAACCTCTTCAAAGTCACATTCCATGTATGTGATATGTGCTTCAGTCTTGGGTGTAACCTTACTCTCGACTTCTCAGTTTTAGCTCCATACAAGAGTCTTTCAATCTCATCCACCTCTGTGTCATGAGCGTTCATTGCAAACTTTGAAGCATTGTCTGGTTTCTCTGGTAGAGTTCCCATAGGACTCTTGGACGTTGCGGTCATTGAGGCAACTTGATTCTCTAAGGCTTTGAAGCTAGATGAGAGGTGAGAGAACTTGTGTTAAGATCACCATAGCTTCCATCAACCCTATTTTCTGTGTTTTACCACAGGCCAGTTAACCTAATATGCACGCTACCACAACCGAACGGTATATCAATGCAACACTTTAGGATTGAAGCAACAGATAACTAGTGATTGGTAACAATAAGAATACATAAATCTATTTAATCTAAGTAAATAGGAAGGTGAAATTAATTCTAAACTAATGAAAAAGAAAGAAACCTTATAACTACTGCTAGAAATAAAGTAAGAAAGACAAGCTCGTGAGTATGGTAATTGATTAGATATGATTGATTTAGACTTAGATGCCAGACATAATCAACTAACAATCACTCTAAAGGTCTAGATATCATTCAGGGACAGTGTGAATGTTAAAGAGATTATAACCTGTATCTGGCAAGGTTCAGAACACCTTCATTTGGAGCAACGTCTAACTGCAATCCGTAAAGAGCTAGTTATTTGGAGCAGAGAACATCATCAAAACAGTAAACTAGCAATCAACACCCTAAAGAGAGACTTGGATGCAGCTCTTTGTATGGAAATCTAGGCCTTCTTTAGGTCAGGTACTATGAGGGATTCGACGGACAAAACTTAGTGTCCGACTACATACCAATCGCATTGTGTAATGTGACTTACAAGGTAATCTCGAAGATCCTCTCTCTCCGCCTAAAACCAGTGCTTCAGAGCCTGATTGGCGAGACCCAATAGGACCTGCAACTAAGGAATTCCCAGACCTGAGGGTGGCGGACCTTCTTATCCGTGAGTCTAAGGAATGGCGTATTGAAAACGTTCTATCCCACCACCTTTAAGAGATTAAACTCCTGAAGCGAGTAAGATGGGAGGTAGAGATGCATTGTATGGCTGGGCTCAAGAAATGGAAAATACTCTACTTGCTCTAGTTACTATGCTGCAGAAGAGCTGGAAGATCACATAATCTCCCACCAACCAAGGACTGACTGGAAATCTCTACTCTGGTAGGGAATAGTCTCACCAAAACTGCAAGTCTTCCTCTAAAAAATCACGCAGGGAGCCCTTCCTATAGGTGCCAACCTGCAACAGAGGTTTATTACAGAACACGACTTCTCCTAGATGCGGGATGTTGGAAACAATCCCACATCTCTTCCTCCACTGTGACTATGCCAGGAAAGTATAGGACTCCTCTCTATTCTCACCACATTTCGACCCTGATATTTTAACAGCTATCACTGCCTTCTCCGATGCATTGAAATACTGTAAAACCTCAGCTTGCCTTCTACCCTGGGGGATGCATTCTGATATCTTTATGTGGGTCTGCTGGAGTATATGGACAGCGAGAAACAAACTTATTTTGAGGACTGACATATTCCACCTGGAGAAGCCGTTACCAGAGCCATTTGGAATGCACGGGAATGGAATTTGGCACAGAACAGTGCAACTCCTCCACCTAAGCTTCAACACCAGACGGTGAGTATACCCAATCAGGATGTTCTAATATTTGGCTTCTCTGATGCAGCTTGGAGAAAAGACACAAGAAATGCAGCCTTTGGTTGTATCTTCATAAACAAGGAAGCACATGTCATTCATCAGGACTCTAGCGTGGAAAGACACGTCTCTTCATCGCTTACCGCCTAGGCTCTAGCACTACGCTGGACCATCAACACATCCCTTTCACGTGGATATCACAGCATCTGTTTCAACACAGACTACCAATCGCTCATAGCAGCAATTTCTTCGAAGCTTGCTCTGGCTGAACTCTTCGGAATCATCCAGGGCGTCGAACATCTATCCTTCAAATTCTATGTTGTTTCATTTAAGTTTGTCGAAAGACGTTTAAATGCTTCTACAAATCAGCTCGTTAAAGGCTGCTCTTTGTATTGCTACCCTTTCTTTCCCACCATAGTTTAGGTGGTGTGGATTTTAATATAAGTTATGTTTTGTTAAAAATAAAATAAAAGAGTGGGTCTCATAAAATGGGACATCAACAAAGCTTAAAGACATAGATATCTGTAAGTATAACCAAATATATATCATCTTTAATTAAAAGTTGTTAGCTTGACAAATGTATCTTAATCATTTTCACCATACTATAAATATTTACTTAATCTGGTTTAAAACAATTCGAAAACGTTAAATGGAAGAGAAAATATAATTAACTTAACTTAGTTTTTTTGAAAAATAACTAAGTAATTAGATTTTTGCGGTTTTAAAGAAAAAACTGTTAAAAACGTAGATCTTTCCAAAAAATAATAACTTTCCTTTAATCATTTTAATTTAAATTTTTTAAAAATTCTGTTTTAAACTTTAACTTTGTTGACCAAACCGTCTCAGATACATGAAGAGTCAATCCATAAATTAATTTAACAATTGACTTTTTTTTAATCTAAATCGCCTTATTAAAAAATTGAGATTTAAGTGCATTAACCAGAAATTGAAAGTTATTTTTGTTTTTTTCGAAGTTTAAGATTTTTTTTGGTTATTTTCTCTTGGTCAAACTATAGAGAATTATTAATATTTTCGGAGGAAAACAATAAATATAAGACTAAAAATGACTAAAATATAATTTTTTTGTTGACGATAATAACTAAATAAATTTTATCCTACCGATTTGGAAAATCAAATCGGAGGTATAGAATCTATATATAACATAGGAGAACTCCTAACACCACATGCAAGCTTGTTCCAATAGATCTTTTGCTCTTAATACAAAAGAATAATTACATAGAAAATTCCAAGAAACCCACTCTGCAAGAAACCCATCCCTCTCTTCTCTCTCGCTTTCTTAAACCCTTTCTCACATTCTCTCTCTACAATCCTTTGAAACTATTTCTACAAAAGGTCTGGTGCTGACTCTGAAAAGCCAGGTCCTTTACTGCATTCCAGGTATGGCGATTGAAGATCACGAGAACCCAAATGAAGGAATCAAGCCTAAGAGCAGAAGAATCATGGTACGTTCAAGATGGTTACATTATTGACTCTGGTTTTTATTGTTCACTTTGTTTTGCAATGTCCACTCGCAATGCTCTTCGAATTCTACTGAATCCATAATCGATTTTAAGATTTGGGTTTTTACCATTGAACTAATTTTTTTACCGGAAACAAGAAAAGTTTTGGTCTTTCCTTAATTTCTTTTAAGATTTTCAAATCTCAGTTTCTACTGAAAATGCTCTGTTTTGTGTATAAAAGAACGTGAGAGAACCAGTCAATGCTCTGTTTTAATATGTGGAAGCCAATGGTGTTTCTGTTAGATTAAAGAGTGATCTTGTTAATGGTTTTTTCTCAGGGAGGTGGTGAACCGGAGGAGGGAGAGAATCAGTGGCCTCCATGGCTGATACCATTACTGAAAGAACACTTCTTTGGTCAATGCAACTTCCATCTAAACTCACCTAAAAACGAATGCAACATGTATTGTTTGGACTGCACCAATGGCTCCCTCTGCTCTCTCTGTCTTGAACACCACAAGGATCATCGTACCATTCAGGTTCGTTGCGTTTCAAGAACCCAAAAAGTTAGTATGGAGATTGCATATGGCGGATCTTGATTTGTAATGTTAATGTTCTTGATTTGGGCAGATAAGGAGATCATCGTATCATGATGTGATAAGGGTCAACGAGATTCAGAAGCATTTAGATATCTTGAGCGTTCAGACGTATGTGATCAACAGCGCAAAGGTTGTGTTTTTGAATGAAAGGCCTCAGCGTATGCGCGTTAAAGGAGTTAGAGTTACTAATGCCTGCGATGCTTGTTCTCGTGGCCTTGTTGATATTTGCTTTTGCTTCTGCTCTCTTGGCTGCAAGGTACATTATTAAATCATTCTTGTTCTGTTTTTTTTTTTTTTTGTGATAGAAAAGGATGAAACTTTGGTGTTAGTTGGGTTAAAATCGCTAATCTATGAGTTGAATTTTCTCTGTTTTTGTGATTTCTTGATAATATAAAGAGAAAAGTGTGAGACTTTTGATTTGGGTCTTCTTTAACTTAACTGAGTAAAGCGTATTTCTTCTGATAAACGTTTTCTCTATGTTTTTGGCAATTGAAAATCAATATTCAATAGGTAGCAGGAACTTCTAGAAGCTTTGAGAAGGAAGTGAAGCATACACTAATGGAAGTAGAGAGTTTAAACAACATTTCAGGAGTAGAGGATAACATTCCAAGTCCCCAGATTTTAACCTCATCAACACCTCAAGTTCCTACTTCTACTTCTTTGAGAAAAAGACCAAGAAAGAGTATTCCTCAACGATCTCCACTGCAATGAGGTTAGATCGTAAAGAAGAAGAAGGGTGTGTTACATTTCAAGGATCCTAATTATATAGAGACATCCTCAAATGAGATCGTGTATAGCTTAATACAGGACACAACATTAAAGGTTTTAACTCGGTCTTACTCCAAAGGAGGGCCTTAGTCAAATAACTAGTAAGTGAATATTCTTGTATATTCTCAATGTGATGTAAATGAGGATAGACAAGGAGTAATACAGGGCAACGTAAAAGGTGAGAGGTTTACGCTCTCACATCTCCCAGTTCATTATATCGAATCTATAATATAATATAAATTAACAAATGTGAAGTTTTGCAAACCCACACCAAATATATTTTACAAAAGATTCTTCCACTTACAAAAAATGTTCTGGTAGTGCATATCTATAAAAAGAGAAACATGGGCCACAACGTAAAGAAACTAAACTACAAGAACACAATAATTTTGCCACTGAACTTCCCATCCCTATCATGTATAACCCTGCTTATACTTTCTGAAAATATCCTCAGTTTCGGAGTTTCGTAATGCGCAAAAACCGATTATATAAATGATTATCAACCCAAAAAGGGCTACAAGGAGAAATATATCTGCTTTTAACCAATCAATCTTGAGGTTTGCCAGCAAACCAGCTTTGCAAGAGTCACAACTGTAGCACAAAGTGTTTTGATCATTGCTCCATTTTAAACAGTCCATATCCACATGCAATGCTATGGGACTTATCCAGTAAGTAGCATTCTGAAAGGTGTAACCACATTTTGTTGGGGGCTTGCAGCAACCAGACTGAAAAATAAACAAACGGCCTTGGAATTAAATGAAAATTTAAAATATATGGACAAAATAGTTTCATGGTAATAAATCAATGTAATGTTCTAAAAATTGGTTTAGATAGCGTTCAAGCACTCGCTTACACAGAAAATTAAATGTTTTACTCGCACATACGAGATGAATAATTTTGCAAATATTTATAAATAAAACCAATAAATATTAAACTAAATATTTTCCATTAAAATAAGTTAATATTCATATGTTCAAAAAATAAAACAATAAGTTAAACAACAATTCTTTTATTGAAAGTTTTTATTATAATAAAATTATATTTTCTTGGTAAAATTAAACTCGAAAACACTCATGTATACATAAAACTATATAGGAAATATATATGTAGGGTTTAAAAGAAATATTTTATGATGTAAGATATTGTTTTTATAATACAATATAAATTTTGTTATAATACTAATTAATAAATCAGGGAAATTCATTTTTAATTTATGGTTAATTCTATATTAATAAATCTAATGATTCATTAATGTTAACAAGACTTTATAATATATATATATATATAATATTTTTAGATAATTATAATTATCAAATTGATGATAATACATATATGGATTTATTTATATTTTTAAAATATATTATATAAAATAATCGTTTGGATAAATCAATATAGATTATTTTTAGGTTTTTATAATTATAAAATTCGTTTTTAATAGTGGTTAATTATATATTAATAAATTATATTATTTATTAGGGGTATAAATAATATTAACCTCTCTAATTTTAACGTTAAAGGTTGCGAAAAATCACTTCGCAAATAATAGTATAGATATAGTGGATCAATCAATATAGATCATTTTTAATTAGGTTTTGATAATGATAAAATTCTTTTTTAATAATGGTTAATTATATACTAACAATATTTTTATTTATTAAGGGTATAAATGATATTAACAGCTCTATTTTTTTAACATGAGAGCTCTGTAGCGAAAATCACTTTGAAAATAATTATATAGATCGTCATAAGCGAAAAAAAGTTTAGACTAGTTTTTTTCTAAAAATCGTTGTAGGCGGCATCTAGTTGCCGCTTATGCACTAGCCCTTTAAAAATGTCAAATTACTATCAAGAAATTTTTTGAATAATCGATTAAAATACACACTAGATTTTGACCATTTTGATAAAATTTATTTCAATTAATTATGTAGACACAAAATTTTTAAAATTGTTCTATTAATATTTAAAATGTTATATTTTAATATTGATTTTCACGTAATGTTTTCATATCTAACCCAAACCCATAGTTAAACCGGTGCATCCCATAATGAAAATTAATTAATTAAAATTTTGATTAAACCCGGTGAATATCCTAAAACTCGCTATTAATCTTCAATATGATATTCGTTGATCTGCTTAAAACCCCATAAAACAGATAATTTTTTTAATTAGTTAAATAACTCATACTTTTAATACTAAAGAAAATTAAATTTTTGTAATTTCTTTAATGCAAATTTTCTTGTCATTTGAGAAAAATGAAACAATGGAAATAGAAAAAAAAACAAAATCTATTCATATAAAAATATTAGTTTTTTCGTTATCTAAAAATTATTTATAAAAAATTGAATTAACATATCAATATCATGGATAAAGTGACATATCAATATCATGGATAAAGTGACATAGTAAATAATAATTTTTAATTTTTTGATCCCTAAATAATATTATATACGTAAATATAATATTAAAATTAAATAGGAAATATAATTTTCATAATAAATATTATTAATCACAAAATAGGGAAAAGGATCAGTTATTATAAATATAGGGAATATTTAGCTGTTTAGTTAATTAAAATTCTAAATTAAGAGTGGTATTATCTTATAAATATGAAAAAACTCCAAGGGCAGAATCTAGATTTTTTAAAACAGGATCATGTTTTAATAATATGGATTGTGGAAGAAACAAAAAAGTTGGAGATCTAATGTTATCTTAACCGAAAGTTGTAAACATACAGTATAAGAGCATGTTCAATGAAAGTCTCTAAAATTCACTTACTTGAATGGGACTAAGATCAGCATCGAAGAAATCTTGAGCCTTAGTGAATCTCTGGTTTAAGTCAGGACAAATACTAGTACTACTCAAACAAGTACGAATTCTTTCCCATTTATAAGATCTCTGAACTCGTCGACGTAAGAAACCAGAAAAATCTTGAAGACTATACTCAAGATATGCTCTGCTTGGTTGTGGACGACCAGAGCCTCTAAGGGTAACCTTGTAAATAAATCCGACAAGAACACCTAAAAGTACGATGAGAGCAAGCATAGAAATTAAGTAAACAACGAGAAGCCAAGTGATCCTCCAGAACCCTCCTATGAGACCAGCGAGACCCACAAGAAGTATCAAGATTCCGAGGATTATTACTGGCCATTGAAGAAACATGATGCAGGAGTTTACTGTTCCGACGGTTAGCCAGATTCCCGCGCCGATAACCGGAACTGAGAGGAGGACGGCGATGATGTTTATGCAACCGATTACATTGTTGCTTAAAGGCATGTCTTTTTTTTTGTTAGACTGTCTGTGGTTCTTGAAATATGGTTAGTTTGAGAAACAGATTCAGGATGTACGTAATAACTTAGAGTGAGAGGGTTCAAATAAATAGCTCAACGACACAAGAGCGAGAGAAGGTGAATAGTGTTATATACAATGTTTTTTGTTAGTTGTTAAGGGATTAAGGGTAATAACTCGGAGAGAGATGGAGAGAGTTAGTCACATATGTGAAGGTGAATTGTATTGTAAATCGAAGGGGTTAACTATTTTAGAAGAAGAAAAAGAAGGTGGAATCCTTTCTTATTAAATTAGGTATTCTAACTTTACCTTTTCTTAAAAGAAAAAAAAAAGAAATCAAAATCTATTTATTACATATTGATTATAATTTTTAAAATTAGAATATATTTCCAAAAAGGTAAAAATAGTATCTGATTTTAATGAAGTCATATATACAAATATAAGTAGATGACACACAAAAAGATGCTAAGTGTCAAGTCTATTTAATATTCTTGTCCAACTTATATTTAAGGTGAGTAATATATAATCTTTCTTTTAACTATTTAAGCAAAAGTATGAAAGAAATTAGTGTATAAAACAAGAATTTATTGAAAACAAATATACATTTTCATAAATATTGTTCAGCTTTCTGATACATTTGTGCTTATAAAAAATAATAAACTATTTTTTGCCGAAAACTGGTGCAGAAACGATGAATCTTGCGTGTATTTACAATAATTACCCAATTTTTCTTTAAAAAAAACTGTGTATAAGATAATGATAAAAAATCCCTTATTGATATTTAAGTTGTCAACAAAAAAAAAAAAAAAGTTGTCAACACAACATGTGACCATATAATCACAAACGTAAAACTATAATGGAAACGTAACAAGATGTATATATATATGGTCAATTGCTAGTTTGCTAATAACCATAAAACAAAATCTCCAAACAAGCTAATATATTTTTGTCTGAATGCAATGCACGTATTGAAAATTGACGTTTTCTTTGTAACACAAAATTGACGTTTAATAGTGAAACAATAACTCATCTCAGGTCATTGATGTTGTTGACCCTGCACAATGAACATAGCTAGGAACTTGTACAGAAGCTCTGTTACAATCCAGTTAACAATAAGCTAGTACATCTCTCTAGCCAAAGTCCATCTCAATAGCTATATGCACAAGAGAAAAAAAAATCTTTACTTAAGGGCGACACAAGTAACTGTTTTGATATTCAGTTTCAATATAAGTGTCGTTTTGATATATTTCACGTATATTAAAAAATAAGAAAATATACTATTATGTTTTCATTTAATTTATAATTATTTAAATAAAAATAATGTAGAAAAATATCTATTGGTTGGTTAAAAGGATAAAAATGAGATTATAAATGAAAAATTGCATTGAAAATGTAAAAACACAATTATTTTGAAACAAGAAAAAATGGTAAACGGACACTTATTTAGAAATAGAGGAAATATAGAAAACCTCATTAATTAGAAGTTTATGCTATAACTTGGGTTATGTCTGAAGATAGGAGTCCATTGATGCAGAGGAAAGAAAAGTCCCTAGCTCCAAAAGAGACTTCTCGAATCTCCACTAGATAAAAAGAGCCCTTAAAGATCAAGAACTTTTCTCTAAATACATTTCAGTATCTTAAGGATTTGTTAGTGCAGTGCACTAGCAGCTTTAAATTTGTGATCTATTTTCTCGCTGCCTGGTAAGATACCGTCATCCTTAAACCCGACAACACTGCTCGTCTCATAGGCGACATAATCTTCATTCCATTATTGTAACACAACAATAACAGCTTCAAAGTGCACATAAGCCGCCCATCTTTGCATAGACTATTCACAATAGAAGTGTAAGTAAACTTCTCTCTAATCTCCATCGACGCAAATAACCTCATCGCACGGTCCACATGACCCGCTTTGCACAACCGATCAAACAGTTACAAGTGACAATACTCGGCTGCATCCCCTTCTCTCCCATACATGCCAGATGCTTCTAAGCTCCTCCCTGTTGGAGGATGGGCCGTCGGCCCACTCGCGAGTTGAGCATCAAAACAACAAAGCCCAATCAGAAACCCAGTCGACAGGACGAATACCTGCGGCACACGCAATGAACAGAGACCTAGCGCGTAGGCCACACCAACCGCTGATAGTAGACAGAAAATCAACACAAGCAACCAAGTAATGATGGACGCCAAATCAACTCTCTGCACATACCTAGCGGAGGATAGAAGAAAGAATCTCGAGCGAGTATAAATAGAAGAAGCATTCAATGTAAAGAGGAGGAGAAAAAACAACAGAGCTTAGAGAGAGAAAGTAACAATAACATATTTTCCTAGTTTCGTCATTCGACGACGTGTTCTTTGTATTCACTTTCGGTTCAGATTACACTTCAATAAACGAAACCTTTGACCCCTCTCTAATCTCACATAAACATCTAACTAAGTTTCCTAAGCACTTATTCCCGGATATAGGGTTCAACAAGTGGCGCCCACCATGGGGCCTAAAGGTTTCTAATGCACGAAGTAAAAATCACGAGCAAAAGATGTCTACCTCATCCAGCGGACAACCTCCGGTGAAAACAAGTGAGCGACTACCCACATGAGCAACGGCGGAAAATACGACCGATATCGGAAAAAATGTCCAAACTAACATAGGGAGTACACGCCCACCAACCAACACTGCAATAGATGCCATGCTATCAAGTGCCAGAAACGCCCCGACTACGACGCCATCCACGGAAGGAACAAACCACCCAAATGAACATATGGCAAGCATGACTTAACCAGAAAGATCGCAAGAACACTCAACCAACCCACTGATTCTCCACACTCCCAAAGAAGACTCATAGAATAAATAACTATCTACCGTATTGCACTCCTTGGTAAAAAAGATCGACAAACTTACACGTGCTAGAATAAGGACGAATGATCAAAGCCTTGACACAGACTCGACCCAAAGATGGGAGGAAGAGCAAACGGATTTTCGAGGAGAAACACGTATATCCGCCGAGCTGGCAGCCCAAATACAAAGAAACTTCTTCAAGGACTCAGATATGAAGACAACCAACTCCACCGCTCGATCAACATCAACACGATCCGAGAAACGACGACCGAGATAAAATCATCTAGGAGCTACAAGTGACCTTTAAAAGTATAAACTCCCGAGTACATCAAGCCACGAGCGCCGTGCCAGAAATCGACCGAATGCTTGAAGAAACGCAAAACTCCCTGTTTACAGCCAGAAACTAAAATAGACCCGTATGACACATCGGGAAGATAAAATTTCCTACCTACGACGGAAGCGCAGACCCCCGTCAGTACATGATTGCATTCACCAACGCGATGGGGCGAGCGCACTTCACACCCGAAGAGAAAGACGCTGGCTACTGTTTTTTGGAAAACCTCACCGGACAAGCACTAAGATGGTTCTCGTGACCCGAGTCCAGATCGATCGACAGTTATCAACAACTATTGACAGCATTCCTAAATCATTACTCAGTGTACATCAAAGGGGCGAAATCAAGCCGCCTGACGGTGAGGGAAGTCGAGCTAACACTGAACGCGGAAGAGAAAATCGCCACCAAACGCCTCCAAGAAGGGAAGCAACCCGCAAGGAGCACGAAGCAAAGAGAGAAGCAAGAACCAAAATCGTATATCCGAAAAGAGAAAGGCCAGACAAAAACCGGGAAGACGTCCCGCCACCTTTACCAAGACGAAGAGTTAGTATCATCATGAGAGGATTATCCTGCGCGGAGAGGGTAGACGCAGCATACGACGAGGAAAGCAACACAAAAATGGAGGGCACCAAGAACAATACGACGAAACACACCTGCATCACCCTAAATTGTTTAGACACGGAAGGTTGGGATATCTCGCATAACGATCCACTGGTCATCACGCTGATGATCGGCGACTGTGAAGTATCTCAGATCCTAATCGACACCAGAAGCACCGTGGACATAATTTTCAAGGACAAACTAAGAAAAATGGATATACAAGAAGACGGCATCAAACCCAAAACAAGCCCCCTAGTCAGTTTCGCAGGCGACACCTTCATGTCAGAAGGAACCGTCAAACTACCGGTATACGTAGGAAATACCCGCAAGAAGGTTAAATTCACGATACTAGACAAGCCGACTATCTACAACGGCATATTCGGAACCCAATGGATACACTCCATGAAAAGCAGTACTGTTGGGGTCAAAATCGGTACGACGGAATCAACAGCCAAAACTCCCCGCAAAAAGATAAAAGAAGTCGTTTTATAAAACTTGAGAAGTCGTTTTATAAAACTCGAAGAGTCGTTTTATAAAACTCGAGAAATCGTTTTATAAAACTCGAGGAATCGTTTTATAAAACTCGAGAAATCGTTTTATAAAACTCGAGAAATCGTTTTATAAAACTCGAACCATCCTTTTATAAAACTCGAGGAATCATTTTATAAAACTCGAGAAATCATTTTATAAAACTCGAAGAATCGTTTTATAAATCCAAAAGAGATTTCCGAGCAAAGGAAATCCGCGGAAAACTCGGAAGATCGTTATCGCGGAAAACGAAACAAACGCCGATTACAAGATCGTCCGAGTTAAGCACAAAACCGAGAAAAACCGAAACTGCCGTAAAACGCGAGCTAGTCACGTCACGACTAGCTCGCCCAACGTCGAGCTAAGCCAGTCGGCTTAGCTCGCCGTTGGGCGAACTAGTCTCGTCCCAACTAGCTCGCCGTTGGGCGAGCTAGAAGCTTCCCGGGCAGTTCGCCAAACGGCGAGCTGAACCGGTCCGTTCGACTCGCCGTACGTCGAACCGACCGTCCCGAGCCTCGATTTCCCGTATCCCCGATTCAAGGCTTACGTCCTTCGACACGGTCGTGTTCCAAACCACGGTCGAAATGTCTCCCGTTTCGTCTCAATTCGTCCTATCATTCGAGTTTTACGATAAAAACCGTAAAACTTTGTTTTCTCGAAAAGAAATCGAGAAAAACGTATAAAACGGCA